AGAACTTCTGTTCCTCACTCAAACTTGTTGTCGCCCCAACTGGCAAATCCTCTAGCTGGGGTTGTGACCTTAAAACCCCCACGGGGAGAATCACCCGCCATCTGCGGGGGCTTGCATTGGCCTTGTAACCAGTAATCTGGAGGACAGTGAGGGCAGAGGCGCCTTGCCTGTCATTATCTGTTTTCATCAACACGTTAATGTCAAGGGCTTTGTGGCCCTGCACTGGTGACCTGGGCTGCTGCTGCTACAGGGAAGAGGCAGGTGAAGAGTGTCCATGGCTGTGCTGAGGACAGGCAGGGCAGATGTCCCACGGCTGTGCCGAGGACAGGCAGGGCAGAGCTGCAGAAGGTTTCACACAACCATATTCTGTTGCCTCCCCCATCCGCTGTCCTCCTCTTCCTCCTCAGGCTGCGGCCACCCATATTTCCCCCATAAACCAACTCAAGAACATTTAGGCTTCGAGGGATTTCTCAAAGGGCTTTTAGTTCCTGGAAGCCACACTTGCTTCCAAAGCCCGTCCCAGGTGGATGCAGTGAGGGAGCCAGCTGGCCCTGCCAGTTTACCAGGTGGGCAGAAGCCCGAATCGCTCTGGGAGAACGTTGGTATCTTGTAGAGCAGATGCCTGTTGGTTAGCTCTGGCCCATTGGTTTTTGGACACACAGGTCCTAGGGGAGATTTCTGACTATGGTTTTGGGGGTTCAGCCTGAAAACTCCATCTTATTTCAATGGAAAGTTGCTGAAAACTGTGATTTCTCTTTCACCATCTCAGGCTCTGGGACAGCCCTGAAAGATGGGGTGACAATGACCAAGGCTCCTTGAAGCCTGGGGTTCAGGCTGAGCCATTCTAGGCCCTCTGGCCACTCCATACAAAGGAGTTTGAATCCTGCTCCAAAACCTGCCTCCTTCCTCTGGTTATATAAAAAGTGTGACTTTATGGGAAACCCCCAAACTCTCTCCCAAGGTTCCTTTACCATTTTACATTTCCACCAGCAACATAAGAGAGTTCTAATTATTCTACATACTTGCCAGAACTTTGTATTTTCAGTTAAAATTTTTTGGGGGGGATTCTAATAAGTGTCTAGTAGTATCTTATTTGTGGTTTTAACATGCATTTCCTTAAAGACTAATGATTTTGGCCATCTTGTCATGTCCTTTTTTTTGCTCTATATTTTTGCAAAATGTCTATTGAAATATTTAGTCCATTTTTTTTTGTTTTGGAGACAAGGTCTCCCACTGTTGGTCTAGCCAGAGTGCTATGGCATCATCATAGCTTACCATAGCCTCAAACTTCTGGATTTAAGCAATCCTTCTGCCTCAGCCACCCAGATAATTCTTCTATTTTTTGTAGTGATGGGTCTCACTATGTTGCACAGGCTGGTCTTGAATTCCTGGCCTTGAGTGATCCTCCTGCCTCAGCTTTCCAAGGTGCTGGGATTATAGGCATAAGCCACTGTGCCCAGCCTACACAGTACATTTTTTATTTTATTTTATTTTATTTTATTTTTATTTTTTTTTTTTTTTGAGACGGAGCCTCAAGCCATCCCCCTGGGTAGAGTGCCATGGCTTCACTGCTCACAGCAACCTCCAACTCCTGGGCTCAGGCGAGTCTCCTGCCTCTGCCTCCCAAGTAGCTGGGACTACAGGCGCCCACCACAACGCCCGGCTATTTTTTGGTTG